TCATGCGAATTCCAGCCGCGCTCAAGACTCGGAATAAACGCTTCTATTCAAAATAACACAAAAATAAAATACAACTTTAACAGTCAGAACACGAGGAAAATCTAATAACACCAAAAACAAAACCCGTTTAAAATGGCTAAAGAATTGTCCGAAAGCGCTTGGGAGAATGAACATTATGGGAGATTTTTGTACACCCTTATTCCTATCAAACGGAGAAACGTAAGGATACTGAAAAAAAAAAAACTAAATAAGAATTAATTAAATTTATCCTTGTCTGTCATATTTAACGAAAGATGTTTAAAAGAAAAGGCTGCTGTGAAAACTTAATATATAGACCTACCTTTCACCTTTCTGATCTTAGTTCTATTAAACAACATTACTTAGAAAAAACATAGCCATATACTTAATATTAGACAGATATTAGTTGATAACTCAAAAATACTCACACATACACAGTAAAAAGAACCTTTAGATATTGGAGGCTATCTACATTAAAACAAAGCAACCCTCACTCTACAAAATTACATTTCAAACTAGCCACAACCCATTACATTGCATTTAGACATATGGTTCTGTTGTTAATATTTCGGTCTCTCACGTGATACGACGTCATAGAACCGCTTCATGTACTTACGACCTGTGTCTGCTATTCCGCCACCGTTATCGTCGCATAGCAATCTTCTATGTCAACATAACAGAAAACCATCTTTGATGGTGAATATCTTTGTTTAAATGTTCATATAACCACTCTGAAGATGGCTCATGTGATCTGAAAGCTTAGATCAAGAAACAGCATAATAAAAAATATCCAAATGTTGGACAATGTTTGTCTTTATTTTCATCTGAAATTAAAGCAAACATACGAAGTTTAGAACAGATCATGATCAAACATAATAGGCATTCGTTGTCTGTTATATTTAACAATAATATACTTTTTTTTTAAATCAGTTCACCCCAAACAAAGCGGGAATGCCACTAGTAGGCAAGGGTTTACAAAGAGAGAAAATTAGAGAAAAGACTGGATATAAGGGGGGGATTGAGGGAAGAACAAATAATGAACAAGGTTCAAGAAGATAAGTGACGACGATTCACGTTGCGATTAAATATTTGAAGATTGTAGTTTTCAGGGAAGCAAGTAAACGGAAGGGAGTTCCACGGGCAGGAAGTGTGAGAAAAGAAACTGATGGAGTAGAAGTGGCGGTTACATTTAACTATTTCGACAGTAAAATGGTGGAATTTAGATACCAATCAAGAAACACGCTTAAACTAATATAGACGTGACATGTGTCGAAAGGAGCAACCATACGGAAGATGAGAATTCACACCGATTTGCAGTGTACCTTTAAGTTAAAACAGCTCTGCTCATGATATTGACAGCTCGTCATTTTTAAATCTCTCTCTCTCTCTCTCTCTCTCTCTATATATATATATATATATATATATATATATATATATAATGTATGTGTGCGTGTGCTTGTAGAGGATGAGACAGCGTGAAAAAAGCTTATAGACGACATCTTTCGTCGAACATGATGTGTCGGATTTGGGTTTCAGGTCGGAATGAAAGGCAAAACTGTGTGCAAGGAAAAAGGCGCTGAGATTTTTGAGGATAAGTGGGGCAATAAATTATATTACCCTATCGGATCCTACGACCAAAGACCAAAAAGTGTTGTTTTGTTATCGTATCCTAAAAAATACTAACGAATTTTCCTTGCATAGAGTTTAGACTTTCATTTTGACCTGAAGCGAACAGAAACCCTCACACGTGACGTTCAGCGAAAGGCGTCATCTATAAGCCTTTTCCACGTTGACCCATCATCTACCAACACACATATTATATATATATATATATATATATATATAGAGAGAGAGAGAGAGAGAGGTTTTGAAATGATGAGTTGTCAATATCATCAACTTGAAGGCACACTGCAAATCAGTGGGAATTCTCATTTTCAGCGTGGCTTCTCGTTTCCAACAATACCTATCGGTTCAGGCTCATTTGCGTTTCTCCGACGTCCAAAAAGCCAACGTATGGTTTATACTGCAAATATATCGAGTTGTCAATATAGTTTAATTTATTCTCTATATTGACTACATCTAACCCAAAGGCTCAACCTTCTAACTGCTCTGACACCTGAAGCAGAAGTTGGTGAAACTGGGCAAATTCCACACGCATGCGCGTGTAGGTCTCCACAAAAAACCTGGCATTATATTATATTTACTCCCTTGGATAGAGCAAATAAATACAGCCTCTGTAAGAAAAAAAATATATATATATAGGACGATGTAATGTAACGGTTATCAGCACATGAAATAGTAATCGTTAAACAGTTCGAATATCAGATGAAACTATTCACGTTCACTTCGCATCAATTCCCTTGGGAGAGGAGTGAATGTATAAACTGTCAGTGGTAGCTGACCGGCGCGTAATCAAAATGTAATGACTTTATGGCGACTTGAAACTCACATGGTTGGCCTGGACAACGCTCGGTTGAAATCGAGTCGTCTTGTGGTAGTTGTGTACTTAGTAAGAATTCGATATTCCCACTCAGACGTGGTATCATTTGCATTGAAGTTCACTGGAAAATTAAGCTGCAAATATTACTTGTTGGTAATGATGATTAACACCGGTGAAGTTTTTTTTAAACCGTTAAGATAAAACAAAAACAACAGACCAATCGTTCAAAAATTACTAGGTTGAGTCATAAACAATTTCCGTTTGTGTTTATCAACTTTATTCTTCAAAATATTTCAGTTGGTTTACACAACGAAAATTACTTATGATTCCCTCTTTTTCTCTATATATATATTTCGCTCATCATCATCATCATCATCATCGTCATTATCATTATCATCAATATATATATATATAGTTTTAAGATATGCTATATTTATGGATAAGTGCTCAACATCAGGGATAGAGTGTGTGTAAATATAAAAGTGGACATCGAGGTCAACACCAAGCGGCGATAGTCTGCTTAGTCTGTTTAATGCTTAAACGCATTCTTCAGGCCATGAGTGTTGTATTTTGATTCGACTATTTATATATGCTAGTTAATGGTGCATTATAGATAGTTCTATTGTAATATTCTAAAATTTATTGGGTGGGCCGTAACGGTTATGTTTCGAATTATTTTAGGGTCTACTGAGTAAAAATAATTGTGGATATGTATCTATAAGTGGACACTGAGGTTCAAATCATGTGGCAACAGTTTGTTTCATGCTTAAAACAGATTGTCACCGCCGGCTAGTGTTCACCTTACCTTAGTGTCCACTTCTATATGTATATACGCTCTGTCTCTGATATTGAGTACTTTTACTTATATAGCATACCTTAAAACTATAATTTTATCATATATATATATATATATATATATATATATATATATATATATATATATATATATATATATATATATATATATATATATATATTAAAAAGAGAGAAATCGCAAACGTTTTTGGTTATAATGTGGATTTGTTTTAGTGTTTATATCATATTTTATTCTTCATATTTTTGCTACACGTGTTTCCGGTGGCGTGACCTTCAGGCAAATTAAAGGAATCAATTTTTAAACGAATAAAATTTCCTAATGTTATTTTAATGTTTCATTGTTCATTTTCTGTATTTGTAGTGAACCTTGATCTCATTTTTGGACTGTTGGCAAAAGTGAATTTGTGCCTAAGTCGTAATAAAATCATTAGATTGGCCTTAGTTTTGACGATGTCAGATGTGTTGATGAGAGATACCCCCCCCGCTATTCCTACATCAACCCTGAAATCTATTTCCATTTTTGTGTATCGTATGTGCGTGCGTGTCCCCATTAGCTTACACATTAATCAGCACACACACACACACACACACACACACACACACACACACACACATACATATATATATATATATATATATATATATATATATATATATATATATACACACTCTTCCTGGTTTAAATTTGTCTATGAAGTTTTTTCTTGAATTTATCAGAAAGAATAGTTGTTTGGTATATTGGCATAATTTTAAATTTGCATTAATTGCATTCGTAGATGTGTTGTCAGTTAATTTAATGTTGCTTTTGTGTGTTGTTAAGTGCTTGGCTGATGCCTATATATGACTTCTTGCATTTTGTACATTTGAGTGCATAGATCACATTTTTGGAGTTGCAGTTTAAATTTTATTTATTGCGAATGTAGTTGCGCGAGTTTCACTGGTGTAGGAGTTCCCTTCTATAATGACATCACAAACCCCACATATTTTTTGTTGCATTTTCTGACCCTCTGTATATCGTGTTGGTTCAATTTGGATGAGGTTAATATGTTTTTAGATTTGCGTTTGCTTTTAATTATTTTGGTTGTTTTTATTATAATTTTCATTTTGTCATTTTTGTTAAGTAGGTCTAGATTTCTTGTAATTTCCGTAAGTAGTTCTGGATAGTTCTTATTGTATATTGCAACAAATGCTAGAGTTTTTTCGACGTTACATTTTCTTGGATTTCGTAGTTGGTTCACATGTGTTTTTTCTGTTAGTTCAAAACCTTTGTTTATTAGTATTTTTGGGTAGCCTCGATATTTTATTTTAGAGTTGTATAGTTCTTCTAGGCGGGTTTTTCTGGGGTGTTTGCTGGTTACTATAGTAGAAACCCTAGGGAAAAGGGGATGAATTTTAGACAGCTTTTTGGGTGATGGCTCTTGAAATGAAAATATTGTTGGGTGTCTGTAGATTTGTGGTAGATATCTGTGATTATGTGGTTGTTTCTATTTCTAATGGGTAACATAAAATAATTTTTCTATTTCTAATAAGTATATCTAAAAATATATATATATATATATATATATATATATATATATATATATATATATATATATATATATATATATATATATATATATTTAAAAGGTTGCAAAGAAGACAGTAATCAGATCATGTTTAACTGTTTAGATATTTTATTGTTTCAAATGAGACTGTATGACAACTCATAAAATTTTAAGATTAAAGGTTAAAATAACCATTTTTTCATTTTACGTGATTTCCAAAACTTCCTTCGGAACTTTCGTGTTGCTTTTTTATCGATAGCTTCTTCATTTTCTGGCATGTCAGGTTCGCCTTCTTCTCCTTCTTCATCTTGATTGTCTTCTTTTTCTTCTTCTTTTTCTTCTTCTTCGTCTTTTTCTTCTTCTTTTTCTTCTTCTTCGTTGTTGTCGTCTTCGCTATTATCTGTTTCACTCTCGTCACCGCCTTCTTGTTCAGCACTCTCGTCAGACCCTTCTTCGTTGTCGTCGTCGTCTTCTCCGCTTTCGTTTGATCCTGCTTCATCCCCTTTCTCGACGGCAGCCTCTTCTTCCTCGTTGTCTTCTCCTTCCTGGAACATTTGGGTTTCGTCTTCTTTAGCTTCATCCTCGTCTCCATCATCCGTTTCGGCACTTTCATCAGAGGCTTCTTCTTTCTCGTCATCATCCTCTCCACTTTCGTTCGAGCCAGCTTCTGATCCATTTTCCGCTGCTTCAGCCTCGCCTTCATCTTCTTCTCCCGCAACCGCTTCATCTTCACCGGCATCATTTTCCTCTAAACTTTCGTCGGATGCAGCCTCATTTTCGTCGTCGTCTTCTCCGCTTTCATTCGATCCAGCTTCGTCGCCTTTCTCTTCGTCAGCTTCTTCTTCTTCATCTTCCTGGTCGTCTTCTCCCTCTTGAAATTCGTCTTCGCCCTCAGCAGCCGTCTCCGTGCTTTCGTCAGAGGCAGCCTCATTTTCATCGTCGTCTTCTCCGCTTTCATTTGACCCGGCCTCGTCCCCATTTTCAGCCTCCTCATCTTCACCTTCGTTACTTTCTCCCTCTTCGGCTTCATCTTCTCCGGATGCGTCTGATTCCACACTCTCATCAGAGTCATTTTCTTCTTCATCGTCGTCTTCTCCGCTTTCGTTCGATCCAGCCTCATCACCTGTTTCAACGGCTTCCTTTTCAGCTGTATCAATACTAATATCTTTCTTACTTTCTTCGCTGCTTTCGTCGTCTTCATCTTCTGCAGAACGTTTTTCCACTTTATCTTCATCCTTTTTGCCTTCATCATCTCCGCCTTCGTTTTCAGCACTTTCGTCTGACCCTTCTTCTTCTTTGTCTTCATCTTCTCCGCTCTCATCTGATGCCGCCTCATGCCCTTCTTCTTCCTCTTCGCCTTCTTCATCCTCTTCTGCTGCTGGTTCTTCTTCTTCACTTTCATCTTCTTCGTCATTTTCTCCTTCATCACTGCCTTTATCTTCTTCATCTTTTTCATCATCTTCTTGTTCATCATCTTCAACAGAACGTTTCTCGATTCCATCATTATTGTCGTCTTCAACCTCTTCAGCCTCATCATCTCCGCCTTCGTCTTCAGCGCTTTCGTCTGACCCTTCTTCCTCTTTGTCCTCATCTTCTCCGCTCTCATCAGATGCCGCTTCATGTCCTTCTTCTTCCTCTTCTCCCTTCTCATCTTCTTCTGCTTCTTCACCTTCTCCCTCATCACTTTCATCTTCTTCACCTTCTCCCTCATCACTTTCATCTTCTTCGTCGTCAATTTTTCCTTCATCACTGCCTTCTTCTGCAGAACGTTTTTTCACTACATCTTCATCCACTTTGCCCTCATCATCACCGCCTTCGTCTTCAGCACTTTCGTCTGACCCTTCTTCTTCTTTATCTTCATCTTCTCCGCTCTCATCTGATGCCGCTTCATGTCCTTCCTCTTCCTCTTCGCCTTCTTCATCCGTTTCTGCTGCCGCATCATCACTTCCATCTTCTTCATCACCTTCTTCTTCATCATCGCCTTCTTCATCATCGCCTTCCTCATCATCGCCTTCTTCATCATCGCCTTCTTCTTCATCATCACCTTCTTCTTTGTCATCTTCTTCAGCGGAACGTTTTTCCACTCCATCGTCTCCATCTTCATCATCTCCGCCCTCATCTTCACCGCTTTCGTCTGACCCTTCTTCTTCTTCATCCTTATCTTCTCCGCTTTCATCGGATGCAGTTTCATGTCCTTCTTCTTCCTCCTCGCCTTCCTCATCCTCTTTTGCTTCTTCTTCACTTTCTCCTTCATCACTTTCATCTTCGTCATTTTCTCCTTCATCAGTGCTTTCTTCTTCTTCTTCTTCTTCTTGGACATCTTCTGCAGAACGTTTTTCCACTTCATCTTTATCCTCTTCACCTTCATCATCTCCGCCTTCGTCTTCAGCACTTTCGTCTGACCCTTCTTCTTCTTTGTCTTCATCTTCTCCGCTCTCATCTGATGCCGCCTCATGCCCTTCTTCTTCCTCTTCGCCTTTTTCATCCTCTTCTGCTTCATCTTCTTTTGCTTCATCTTCTTCTTCTTCTTCTCCTTCCTCTTCTTCATCTTCATCTTTCACTTCATCACCATCTTCTTCCTCAGCAGCACTTTCATCTTCTTCAGCGGACCGTTTCACAGGAGCTTCAATTGGTTCCGTAATTTCGGTTGCAGTCTCTGGTACTTCTCCTTCCACTTCTGGT